GTTTTATTAGACAGTAATAAATTACCTTTTCCCAACAATAGCTAGCCCCCTCAAGGTCCTGGAAACCTTGCTTCCAAAATTCCTTAGAGACTTCCGCTATCCCTAATCCCTTCCCAACTTGAGAGTATATAATGGGCCACTCCTCATGACCCCAGTGCAGCTCTTTCTGCCCACGGGTCCTGTCCCCGTGCTTTAATAAAATCACCTTTTTGCACCAAAGATGCCTCAAGAATTCTTTCTTGGACATCGGCTTTGAACCCGAACGTCTTTCCTACATCATTGTCATTGCTAGAATCACAAGTGCCAACTTGGGCTCTACTGAAACCACCTGGTGTTTCAATTCTACTAAAAAAAAAACAATTTTTTTTAACAGCAACTCCTATTTTTTCTATTCTGTGTATGTGAAATTATTTTATTTATTTTTAGTAAACTTTTTATTTTAGTTATAGATTAATAAACAAAAATAGGGGTCCCTGGGTGGTTCAGTCAATTAAGCATCTGCGTTTGGCTCAGGTCATGATCTCGGGGTCCTGGGATGGAGCCCCACAATGGGCTCCCTGCTCAGCACAAAGTCGGCTTCTCCCTCTGCCTCTGCCTGCCCCCGCTCTCATGCTCTCTCTCTCACTCTCTCAAATAAAACCTTTTTTAAAAAGTTAGATTTACAGAAAAGTTGCAAACATAGTTCAGAGAGTTCCTACATGCCCCACACAGTTTTCCCTATTAACATCTTACATTACTATGAAACATGTCATAATTAATGAACCAATATTAGTGTTACTATTTTATTCAGATTTCCCTAATTTTTATCTAATGTCCTTTAGCTGTCCAAAGATCCCATCCAAGACACTACATTTATTATTTTTTAAGTGCATTTATTTAAGTAATCTCTTAACTCACAACCCTGAGATCAAGAGTCACATGCTTCTCCAACTGAGCCAGCCAGGCACCCCAAGACACTACATTACATTCAGTCATCATTATCTCCTTAGGCTCCTCTTGGCTATGAGTTTCTCAGACTTCTCTTTTATAACTTCGGCAATTTTGAGGAGCATCGGTAGGAACATTTTGTAGAATGTCCCTAAGGTGGGATTTCTCTGATGTTTTTCTCATGATTATATTGGGGTTTTGTGTTTTGGAAAGGAAAAACCACAGAAGTGCCATTCTCATTACACCCTATCAAGGGTATACACTATCAACATGACATCACTGTTGATAATTAACTTTGATCATCTAGCTAAGGTAGTGTTTGTCAGGTTTCTCCACTGCAAAATTTCTTTCTCATCTTCCCACCACACCTTTCCATACTACTCTCTTTGAAAGAAGTCAATATGCACAGTCCATACTTAACAAGCAAAGAGCTGTGCTCAACCTCCTTATTCAATTATTTACGTATAAAAGTATGGCTTCGTGGATATTTACTTTATACTTGGAGTTATAATCCAATGCTACTCTATCCTGTTGTTCAAACTGTCTAGTTTGGGCCAGCTTTCAGTTGTCTCCTGTGTCCCTTTGACATACCTCCATCTTTTAATTTTTACTATTATTTTTTTTAATTTTAGGCACTTTCTCACTTCCTGACATTGCAAGATGCTCCAGGCTCATTCTCTGTTTCCTGCCCCAGTCCTTGAATCAACATTTTCTCCAAGGAGGCCCTGGTTCCTTTTATTAGAGAATGTAATTAGAAACCAAGATCTGGACACTAGGTGTGCTCATTGCTACTGGGGTGTCCTAACTTCTAGGCCCTCCTAGTTGACAGAGTCATTGATTTTTGGAGAGCCATGTCATTTGTTCTGTACAATGTCCCACACTCTGAATTTGGCTGATTGCTTTTACCTGGTGTCATTTAACTTGTTCCTCTATCCCCCGCATTTCCTGTAAATTGATAGTTACGTTTAAATGTTTGATTAGAGGGGCACCTGGGTGGCTCAGTTGCTTAAGTGTCTGCCTTTGGCTCAGGTCATGATCCCAGGGTTCTGGGATCCAGCCCCATGTATGGCTCCCTGCTCAGTCGGGAGTCGGCTTCTCCCTCTGCCCTTCCCCCACTCGTGCTCACTCTCATATAAAATCTTTTTTTTTTTTAAGATTTTATTTATTTGACAGAGAGACACACAGCGAAGAGGGAATACAAGTAGGGGGAGTGGGAGAGGGAGAAGAAGGCCTCCCACTGAGCAGGGAACCCAATGCGGGGCTCGATCCCAGGACCCTGAGATCATGACCTGAGCTGAAGGCAGACACTTAATGACTGAGCCACCCAGGCACCCCATAAATAAAATCTTTTTTAAAAAAATAAACGTTTGGGCGCCTGGGTGGCTCAGATGGTTAAGTGTCTGCCTTCAGCTCAGGTCATGATCCCGGGGTGCTGGGATCGAGTCCCGCATCAGGCTCCCTGCTCCTTGGGAGCCTGCTTCTCCCTCTGCTTCTCTCTCTCTCTCTCTCTCCCTCTGTCTCTCATGAATAAATAAATAAAATCTTTAAAAAAAATAAAAAAATAAAAAAAATAAAATAAAAAAATAAACGTTTGATTAGATTTAGCTTATTTTTTTTCTTAGGCAAAATACTGCATAAGTGTTGCTCTGTACTTTTTTTTTTTTTTTTTAAAGATTTTATGTATTTGACAGAGAGAGACACAGCGAGAGAGGGAACACAAGCAGGGAGAGTGGGAGAGGGAGAAGCAGGCTTCCCGCCGAGCAGGGAGCCCGATGCAGGGCTCGATCCCAGGACCCTGGGATCATGACCTGAGCCAAAGGCAGACGCTTAATGACTGAGCCACCCAGGCGCCCAGTGTTGCTCTGTACTTGAGGCATATAATGTATAGCTGTTTCACTTTGGGCGATGTTAAAATTGGTCGGTCAGTGGGTTTATAAATTTACCATCAGTCTTCCACATTTTTATATTCCTTGTCTATTAAAATTCATTAGGGGCTGCAAATTGGTGATTTTCTAAATCCATCATTCTTCTGCCTTTATCAACTGAATTTCCTCTGTAAAGAAGAATTTTCCCTTAGTAACTATTTGGTCACTCTAAAATAAGGTTGTATTTTTTCCTGGCCAGAAAACCTCTGTAATGCCTAGAAGCAAAGTGGTTAAAATTGGACCAAAGTTGCAGGGGAAGCCAGACTCTTATCTTCTTAACCTGTTTAAGAGTCATTCTCATGAAGACACTGATCTTGAAAATTGGAATTTTGAGATCTGGATTTGCAAGATGCGGCTCTGTCACCCATATCAACAAACATTCTTGCTGAAGAAATTAGGAGATTAATTAGTGATTTCTTGTTTCTGAAAATAGAGATTGATTTATGTTATGTGAAATACTCATTAAAAGTAATTAATTGGGTTTATTCTGCTTTTGCTCTCTAACCAAAACAATGTCCGAAGTCTTTTTAATGACAACATATATTAAAATCTCTAAACATACTATAAAAAAAGTAAAATAAAATTTCTAATCAAAGTCCAAAAGACTAAGTTTTCTACATAGCTCTTGCTAGTTAAAGTGAATTATCATCAGAGCAGTAAATGAAATATATTCACATTAATTCTCAAGTGACTTTTTAGTAAAGGGGAAAAATGAAAGGGTTACACTCACAGGACTGATTTAAAAGCAACCTCTTTAGACAGCAGTAACTAAAAAATAGTTTTTATTTACTCAAAATCTCTGGTCAGGCATCAATACAGGAAAGAGGAAAGGGCTTCATTTCTGTACATAGTTTGTGAGTTTTGTGCAACTATTTATTTTTTAATTCAGAGAATGTTTATTGGCACCACAGAAAATCTGGAGTTATAAAGAGAACTTTCATTAGTTATAAAAGGACAATTGAGATTGGGGAGGAAAGCTGAAGAGAATCAACAAGAACACCTGCCAAATGCTCAATCGCTTGAAGCTCGGGCTAATGATTCCCCTCATTTTTGTTCTCTCTCCCTTCTCTCCAGCCCTAAGAAATGTGGACTCTTGGTCAACACAGCCCGGTGGAGGCAAAACTGAGGTGGGAGAGGGTTGAGGCATTTGAGCCCTCCCCACCCCCCCAACACTAAACCCTGACACTTATGGCATTAGCACAAAACCAGACTGGCTGCAAGGTCTGAGGAATCCCTGACATTCTCTCCCAGCTCACCCACAGTGGGCAGCCCCAGATAGGCGAGCTGTTGGGGAGTGGGCTGCGGTGGCAAAAGCCATGGACTCTGGCATTATCAGACTTAAAGCTAGCACTTACTCAACACTTTTTACGTGCTTGGCTCTCTGTGCTATTGTTTTCATGCTTTTTAAAACAAATAGATGAGGTGGGGCGTATGACCCACAACTGTATGAGGTAGGTGAGGAAAACTAAGCTCAAGGAAACCCAGGTGCATGCCCTGGTTCACAGAGATCAAACTCCGGTTCGTTCGACTCTAAAGTCTACTCCCGGTTTCGTTCGACTCCAAAGTCTACTCCCTTTAACTACTCATGGCCTCTGTGCCCCACCTCCGTCACCTCCCGTCTTCTCAGTCGCCCTATTAATAAAAACGAGGTGGTTGGCCGAGATTATCTCTAGGAGTGTCTCCAGCGGGACGGTTTTACCGTTTTAGGAGCGGGGAAGAAAAGCCTTCAAAGTCTTCCCTTCAAAGCAAACGTCAAATCTCAGGGGACGCGAACCTTTCCGTTTGGCGCCGGGACCGGGATCCTGGCAGTCCGCTCGCAAGGGCTCACGGGTCCCCGCGCGCATGCGCAGTGGCCCCGGTGCTCGGCGCGCGGCGTCCCTCCGCGCCCTTCCCCCACCCGCGTCAGCTTCCAGTCGCTCCGGGAGGCGGTGGGGACGTGTGCGCGTCCGACTTCCGCTGACTGTTGGCCGTTTAGCCGGTACCGCCTAGCAGAGCTTCCCTTGCCACCCTTCCCCCTCCTCTCCTCCCCGGCTCTGGTCCCAAAACCTTAGCTCCGCGCCGGGGAGGGCAGGAGGAGTCCTCCAGCGTGACGCCCAGGAACCTCCCGCTCGCCTCGAGTCGGTCCGCCCCCGGGGCGGGAGGAGGGGTGGGGCTGCAAGTTAGGACTTGGTACTCCTATCCTGACGCTGCTTCTGCTTGAGCCAAGCAGGCAGTGTAGTCTGGCCGGGAGCGAGCCATGACGGCGGTGCGGGGCCTCTGGCCGGAGGCGCAGGACACCTGCACCTCGCTGGGGCTGATGCTATTGCTCGTGCTGTTCGTGGGGCTGGCCCGCGTGGTCACCCGGCAGCAGCTGCACAGGTTCATGATGGCCCACAGCTTCGTCTTGGAGTTTCTGGCCACCTTCCAGCTCTGCTGCTGCACCCATGAGCTGCAACTGCTGAGCGAGCAGGAACCCGCGCACCGCACCTGGCCGCTGTCGCTAATCTACTTCTTCTCGTTGGTGCACGGCCTGACTCTGGTGGGCACCTCTAGCAACCCGTGCGGCGTGATGATGCAGATGTTGCTGGGGGGAATGTCCCCCGAGACGGGTGCGATTAGGCTGTTGGCTCAGCTGATTGGTGCCATGTGCAGCAGGTACTGCATAAGCGCCCTGTGGAGCCTGGGGCTGACCAAGTATCACCTCAACGAGAGGACCTTCGTTTGCAGGAATCCTATTCAAGTCGACTTGCCCAAAGCGGTCATCACAGAAGCCATCTGCTCCTTTATCTTCCACAGCGCTTTGCTGCATTTCCAGGAGATCCGAACCAAGCTTCGTATCCACCTGCTGGCAGCACTCATCACCTTTTTGGTCTACGCAGGTTTGTTATTCCCACAAAACACTTGGCACGTCCGAAGCCTCTATGACCCGAGGCGCTAAGTTCTTTACCAAGATACATTTGAAACCCCTACACTTCTGCGATGTCAATATTGGTATCCCCATTATTCTAACCATTTTGCAACCTGTTCTTTACCAATAGTGCAGACATACAGATCCTCCATTCAGTGCTTTTTTGAACCCTCAGCAACAGGAGACATTTCTGTGCTGAAACTGAGATCTTGTGAAATATTGCCAAGGGTTCAAATATCCTACAAAGGGATTGTTTTAATGGTGGAGAGAAAAGATATCAGCTACTTCTTTCCTCATGCCAACCTGAAAAATGATCATGGGTTTAAAAAGTGCCTTTCAATTTAAAGCACAAACTACATGGTTGGTTAATAGTAAGAGGGAGGAGTAGAAATTCGGTAGTTCTGTTTCTTAGTTCTTTTTCTACAAAATTAAAGTCATTTCTTGTTTCCTTAATAATTCATCTTGAGTTATAAATGAACTTTTAATTGGCCTATCACAAAAGATGTGTTTTAAAATTAAAACTTGCTTGAAATTAAAGATGCTTTTTAAAACAAGTAACTCGAGAAATCTGTTGATTTCTTGCAAACCACTGGTTTACTTTGACAGATCTCAGATGCAGTGGATACCCTGGACATCCTAAAGGGGACAAGGAAATCCAAAAAACAAAAGTTTAATGATGAAATGTGTCATTTTAAATGCAACAAAGTAGCTTCACTGGGACTATATAAAATGTTTTAGAGGCAGGAATCTAATAAAAGGAAATTAGTGGTAATGGTCTATCTTCTGCCCACTGAAAGTGAAACTATAAGTAGAAGTAAACCTCAAAATAAAGGCTTCTAAACATTTGCTTGACTTCCCAGGATAAAAATGAAAGACTTTCCAATCCATTTTCCATCCATTAGATCTAGTACTATTCTTTGTGTAGACACAGATGGAAATAAAGGGTAGAGAAGAGAGGAAAGGATTTATGTATATTTGAGGGTTTGGTGAATAGTTGCTTATTTATTAGAGTTTTAGGTTTGGGCTAAAGCAGACACGTGCCCCATATATGAAGATAATCATCCCTTGCAAAAAGTTATGCCACAGTTTAGCTCTGTACTTATATAATTAATGGTGTATTTTAAAGTTTCCCAGGTAATCCCAGTGTGAAACCAGAGTTGAGAACCACTGCTCTCATCCAGACTTGTGCTCGCCAATTCGGAAGCCACTAGCTACATGTGGTTATTCAGATTTAAATTAACTAAAATTAAATACTTGGTTCCTCAGTTGCAATAGCTGCATTTCAAGTGGTCAATAGCCACACATGGCTAATGGGTGCAGTATCAAACAGAGCCGGAGACTGCCGGGGCAGAACCTAATAGACAATTGTGGATTTCTACTGTTACAGAAATTGATACTATTATGATTTTCCTTTTCTGTCAATGTAAGGGAGGTAAGAGTATTCATTGGGCAGTATACTAATAAGCACATAGGAAATTTATATGAGTTATCTTAGTTAATCCTTAAAAAAACTCACTAATGAATACATTACTCCCATTTTAAGTAAAGTGAGGCTCACAAAAGTGGAATGACTTGTCCAAGGTCACACGGCTAGAATGTGCTGGAATCATGGTTCAAACTGACACTAAAGCTTATTCTCATTTCATTATCAGCATTTCTACAGTGCACTCCTCAAAAGTAACAAAAATATGTACATACAAGTGAACATTATTCAGCCATGAAAGGAATTAAGTTCTGATAAATACTACAACATGGATGATGAACCTTGCCAGACACAAAGGAACAAATGATGCAGGACTCCACTTATATAAAAAATCCAGAATAGGCAAATTCATAGAGTCAGAAAGTATAACAGATGTTACCAGGGGTTAGGGGGCAGGGAAGAGTAGGGACTTATCCTTTAATGGATACAGCGTACAGAGTTTCTGTTTGGGGTGATGGAAAAGTTTTGGAATTTGTAGTGATAGTTGAACATTGTGAATGTAATTAATGCCACTGAATATACACTTGAAAAGGGTTTAAATGGCATGTTTTATGTCATATACTTTACCATAATTTTAAAAAATTAAGTTGCAAAAGGATTCTTTTGCCAAGTAAGTCTGGCAAACACTGGATTAAACAGATTTTCTAATGTTAAAACTTTACAGAGCCTTTTCTAAGCTGCTGTATATTGTGAAACCCCAAAAGGAGAATGTGGAACAGTTTTTCAAACTTATGGAATCCTTTTGTCTAGGAGTATGTAGCAGAAGAGAACATACTTTGGGTAATAATACACTAAGCCATAACTCTGCGTTATTTTCTGTGGATATGTCATAACTTTAGACCAGAGTTGTTCCAGATAGAATGAACTGTCTTGGGAGTGATCGAATTTCTGTCATATCAGAGAGAGGTAAGGCTTTTGTAGGAAGGATTTAAGAATGGATAGGGGAGAAAAGGCAGGGGGAGGGGTCAGCTAAGTCAAGTCTCATTAGAAGTTACTTTGATACGTCTTTTTTTTTTTAACTTCTAAGGTACTATTGGTACTGATTTGACATGGTTGCATGCTAGGATGTAATTTATTAACATGTTAGAGCTATAAAACTATTAATGCAGATTTCAAGCAAATCTTAATTTAGGTTTTGGGAGAATTTGGCTCAATGAACAGGGTAAGAGGGAACTGCATTCATTTTTAAAAAAGATTTATTTATTTTAAAGAGAGAGTGGGGAGGGGCAGAGGGAGAGAGAAACTTTAACAGATTCTGCACTGAGCGTGGAGCCGATGAGGGGCTCCATCTCAGGACCCTGAGATCACAACCTGAGCAGAAACCAAGAGTCGGACGTTCAACCAATTGCGCCACCCAGGGGCCCCTGCATTCATTTTTAATTACAGTTGACCCTTGAACAATGCAAGGGTTAGGGGCACTAAGCCCCTACACAGTCAAAAATCCATGTATAACTTTTGATTCCCTCAAAACTTAACTAATAGCCTACTGTTGACTGGAAGCCTTACTGTTAACAGTTGATTAACACATATTTTGTATGTTGTATGTATTATATACTGTATTCTTACAATAAAGTAAGTTAGAGGAAAAAATGTTAAGAAAATCATAGGGGTGCCTGGGTGGCTCAGTCGTTAAGCGTCTGCCTTCGGCTCAGGTCATGATCACAGGGTCCTGGGATCGAGCCCCGCATCGGGCTCCCTGCTCAGTGGAATCCTGCTTCTCCCTCTCCCACTCCCCCTGCTTGTGTTCCTGCTCTTGCTATGTCTCTCTCTGTCAAATAAATAAATAAAATCTTAAAAAAAATCATGAGAAAATACATTTACAGTACTGTATGGTATTTAAAAAAAAAAAAATCTGCATGTAAGTGGACCTGTGCATCTCAACCCATGTTGTTCAAGGGTCAACAATAGACACTGAAAAAAATCTGTTATTTTATACATCTAAGTTGTCTTTATTATTGCACCTGTTCATTTCCTTTGTAGAATTTTTAATTATACAGTTGTCTTCTGATGTCTTCTTCCAACAGACAGTAAGCTTTATGACTACAGAAACTAAAGTTATTTTATTCATTATAACATATAACCAGGTCTTAGCATTGTATCTCCTGTTACAAATCAAATACTCATATTCATTTTAAAAAAATCATGTAGAAAAAAATAATATATATCTGGACATTTTATATTTTATGTCTAAGGGCTTTCAAAATAAGCCTAATAAATTGTCTGAAGAAATTGTAGTATTTTTACTTCATTTCATTATTCCATTCAGTTTTTGGCATCCTTCTAAATCATGAAGAACATAGGTAAGATTATTTGTCAAAGGAGAAGGGAACTAAGTCCTTTACATACATTTGCTTTTAATGTAATAACTACATGAAATAGATACTCATTTACAAATGAAAAATCACTTCAAACAAAGGTCCAGAACATTTATTTATTAATGTAGTGGCTAAGTGCACAGGTTTAGAGTTGTACTGTACCCTTAGAAGAGATACTCAATTTAGGCCTCATTTCCTCATATTTAAAGTGGAGAATAATACTATCTCTCTCTTAAGACCATTATGAGGAATAGAATAACGTATTTCAAGTTAGCATAGTACCTGGCACAAATATTCTAGTCACTGGAAAGGGCTAGCCTCCACTCTAAATTAGTTAATTAACATTCTGGCTTATTCAGGAGTCTTATGATTTTAACTAGTGTCATTCTGACCCGGAGAATTTGATTTCCTTTAGGAGTATTGAGTAACATTAGCATCTAGAATTGCCAGATTTGGAACTTGGACTTTGACACAGTCTTTAACTGTGGTAATTTTGCCAAGTTCTGGCTATCCTGTAAGACTCTTGACGATCAGCCAGCTCTGTCTTCGCATTGGTATCTCTTCTTGGACATATATTATTATGTCTTTTCCCCTTTGGATGTCAATAAATAATATTTTTCAAAGGTATTTTGTTAGTCCTGTGCCTCGTAGATGATTCTTACTTTTTAAATAATTCATGTTTAATTACACAATGCATGAATGTATTCTTTTTGTTAAAAATTAAAACACTACCAATGAGACTATAAGTGCCATTTGACTGCCAGCCTCCATGCCTGTCCTTTCGCCTTCTCTGTCTAATCTTCCCACCAGGGTAGTCCTCTGCACATGCATGTGTGTGTCCTTCCAAACTCTTTATGTGATTTATTAGACATATAGATAAGACCCTATAGAAACTATTGTTTAGGTATGTTCATGTTAACATAAAAGGTATCATATCTTACTTTTTGCAGTTTGCTTTTCTTGGTGGTAGTAGTTGTTCAGTGGTATCTTGGAGACCTACCAATGTTAATTAGTAAAGAAATTTCTCTCATTATTTCAAAATATTGAATGTTATTCCAAATTAATAAGCTTGTTTATTTACCTATCTTCTTATGGACAGTCAGGGTTTTCCCAGTTCTTTGCTACTATAAACAACATTGCATATGTCTACTTGTATGCAAGTATCAGTAGTTCTCTACAACTCAGTAGTTCTGGTTTTCAACAGGAACCCCCCACACTCCGCCCCAAGGGACATTCAGCAACGTGTGGAGACAATTTTGGTTGTTAACAATGGTAGGGGAGATGAATTTGCTGGCATCTAGTGGTTAAGGACCAAGGATGCTGCTAAACATCCCACAATGCATAGGACAGCCCCCAACAAAGAGCTATATAATCTAAAATGTCAAAGCCAAAGCCACATGCTTTGGACTCTTTTTTTTTTTTTAAGATTTATTTATTTGAGAGAGAGAGCCCGCGTGTGCATATGTGTGGGAGGGGTAGAGGGAGAGAGAATCCCAAGCAGGCTCCACACTGAGTGCCAAGCCTGACATGGGGCTCTACCTCAAGACCCTGAGATCATGAACTGAGCCAAAACCTAAGAGTCACATGCTTAACCGACTACGCCATCCAGGAACCCTCTGGGCTTGTGTTGGCACAGAACCCACTCCTGATATGAATTTCTATATCAGCTTTTTTTTTTTTAAAGATTTTATCTATTTATTTGAGAGAGGGAGAGCAAGAGAGAAAGAGAGCATGAGCAGGAGGGGTAGAAGAAGAAGCAGACTCCGCGCTGAGCAGGGAGCCCAACACAGGGCCTGATCCCAGGACCCCGAGATCATGACCTGAGCCGAAGGCAGATGCTTAACCAAATGAGCCACCCAGGTGCCCCGTGTATCAGCTAACTATAGCTTAAAATCATAATTTATAGTTTTTCATGATTCTGTGGGTCAGATGGGAAATTCCTCTGAGACCATAGCTGGACAGCTGGTGGGGCTGGAAAAGCTAAGGTGTCTTCACTCATGTGTCCAGTGGCAGCTGTCATCTAAGATGCCTCAGTTCTCCATGTGGCCTCTTATCTTCCAGCAGCCTAGACCAGCTTACTTACATGGTCAGGGCACTGTTCCGAGAAAGCAAAAAGTGGAAGCTAATGGGTTTTTTGAGACCTGAACCTAGAATTCACTCAGTGTCACTTGTCATGTTCAGAATTGGCATAGAATCACTTCTGCTGCATTCTATTTGTCAATGCAAATTGCTAAGCCAGTCCATATTCAAGAGGGGAAGGTGGGAGGAGCAGCTTCCACAACATCACACTCAGCAGAACTGAAGATGTGAGGATTAGAAGATAAGGTGAGTAAAGTAGTTTGAATTTTAGGATAGTATAAGACTGATGGACAGTGTTCTTAGACCTAATGGAAATAGCAAAGGCCTAATGGGAACACCAAAGTAAACTAATTATGAGAGCAATGGTTCAGTCTATTTTTACTTATACATGCCTAAAAAAAACAACACAGGTCACTTGTATTATCATAGCATATATTACATTGTATTGTAAAGACCTGTGTAAGTCCTTATCTTTTGCCCATGATGTCTACTATATTAGGAACTCAATTCTTTTATTGAACTGAAGTGACCACCTGCCAACCAAACAATTCTGTTTGTCCTTGGCAGTTGCAGCTTTAACATTCCAGGATTGACTATTCAAGAGTGATTCTGGGGGCACCTGGGTGGCTCAGTCGGTTAAGTGGCTGCCTTCGGCCCAGGTCATGATCCCAGGGTCCTGGGATCGAGCCCCGCATCGGGCTCCCTGCTCAGCGGGAAGCCTGCTTCTCCCTCTCCCTCTGCCTGCCTCTCTGCCTACTTGTTCTCTCTCTGTATCTCTGTCAAATAAATAAACCTTAAAAAAAAAAGTGATTCTGAAGGTCCATGATGTGTTATCATTTATAATTGCTGAGACATGAGTATGAATCACACTGTAAGGCCTGTGTGCTAGAAAAAACTCTTAGCCATGGAGTGAACTTAGTTCACTGCTCAACACCTTCATCTCGACACAGCTTCAGTGCAGCCTATCAAGTGTGACATCTTATTAGTGAAATCTTATGAAAGGGTTGCTTAATTTCCAATTTTACTCATTTTACGAAGACAGCATGCTATAGAGGCATATGTCAAGGTAAAATTTGTGAAGATCTCGGGATATATCTCTGTAGCTGAGTCAGAGGCAGATATGTATGCCCAACCTTCTACATGGAAGAATGGAAATGTCACTATCTCAGGAAAATTTTAGGGTGTGTTCTAAAAAGCTGACCCACAGTTCTGGTACCATTGGAAAGGAAGTCCAGCCTCCTCTGCTTTTCCTTACTTGCTTGTGTGGCCAGAACTAAACTCCTAGGCTCCATGTCAGAGAGAGAACCTGGGTGTAGAGCTGGACCATGAGTCCTGAAAAGCCATCAACAGCTAGAAATTGTGCTTACCTTTCACAACTATACACAATCACTTTTTTTATTTAAAAAATTTTGTAGCCACTTTATTGAGACATAATTCACCTGCCATTCACAGTCCCTTCTTCAGGGCTCTCTCTGTTGACAAGTAAAAATGCAGTCAGTGATAATACTTTGGTCCATTTTACTTTTGTTTTCAACACAAAGGTGTACTTAAGCCCACGATGATCCTGGGGTATTGTATCCATTTTAAATGTATTTTCATTATTATTTATTCATTTAAATTGATGAATGTTAGGATGGGCAGCCAAATCTCCTGTTTTGTAAACTTGTAGGAGCAATAATAGAACAGATTAACTTTCAAATGTGCATTTGATAATATATAGGAAAAGCACTGGATTAAAACTCTTAAATGTCCTAGCACATTATAATCTATACATGCCAGGTGATTCTGCAAAGGAAGATTATAGCATAAGAATACTTAAATACCTAAAACAAAGTAGTCACATCCAGTAACCACTTTATTTCCAGTTACAAGAAAATGTAAAATATATGGTTTGGTATCACTCTGCTTAAAATGTATTACAGGAGGAAGTCTAACAGGAGCTGTATTTAATCCAGCTTTGGCACTTTCACTACATTTCAAGTGTTTTGATGAAGCATTCGTTCAATTTTTTATAGTATATTGGCTCGCTCCTTCTTTAGGTAAGCATATTTTTATTAATATGATTACAAGATTAGGGTATCTTAAAATGATAGGAAATGTCACTGTAACATGTCAATTTCCAAAGCCAGAATAGGTACAAAAAAGAAAATGAAAAAGGTAGCTAACATACCTGAAATAACACTTTATTTGTGCAGTATCCTTTAAAATTTTTTTCTTCAAAGAAATAAAATTATCTAGTTAAGGGTGGTCAGTTTCAGGCATGATACCATTTTAAGAATCCTCAGATATATGGACCAAAAAACTGAGGAGTGATTCCTTCCATTAAAAAAAATATATATCTTTTCTTTCTTGCTAAAGGAAATTTCTTTTTTCAAATTTGTGAGTTCCAGATAAAATACTGTTTAGCTCATTTGACTCATTTTGCAAAAGAGCATCTCATGAAACAATGGATAACTGTAATAAGTGTAGTTTAAAAATTATCCACAATTTCATTCCTATTATTTCTATCTGGATCAGATATATAAAACTCCTCTTACTTTTTTTTTTTAAGATTTTATTTATTTATTTGACGGAAAGACACAGTGAGAGAGGGAACACAAGCAGGGGAAGTGGGGGAGGGAGAAGCAGGCTTCCTGCTGAGCAGGGAGCCCAGTGCAGGGCTCGATCCCAGGACCCCGGGATCATGACCCGAGCCGAAGGCAGATGCCTAACGACTGAGCCACCCAGGCACCCCAAACCTCCTCTTATAATATGCATTTCTTTCTATAAGTTATCAGCATTTCTTGATTTTGTTTAGTCACCTCTTTTAAGCCTGATTATAAATCATTACTATAAATGACTATGAGGATGCCTGGCCTTTATTAGTTCATCCTTTTTATCCACAGTTAGTGTTTTGTTTCTTGTTGCTCATTTCTGTTTAAATTCTGTTAATTTAAAAAAACCTTTAAAAATCAGGGTACATATAGAAGGGAACATTGGCCTAATGTTTGAACAGCCAGCACACTTGACTCCTCCCATTCACCTTCCATACCTTTATTTCACACTTAGTACCTGTTTTGCTCAGTAATAATATCTGTGGATCTAAACATGAAAAATACCAGAGAAAGTCTATATTTTAAAATGCTAACAATGGCAGCCATTTTTCTCTGATACAGAGCTAAATTTAGCTCATGACCCTGAGATCATGATCTGAGCTGAAAAATAGATTCTATAGATTAGTGTTTTCTAATAACTTCTTTAAATTTTCTCTTGAATTTTTAAAAAGATTTATTTATTTGTTTGTCAGAGAGAGAGAGAGCACAAGCAGGGGGAGTAGCAGCCAGAGGGAGAAGCAGGCTCCCCGCTGAGCAAGGAGCCCGATGCGGGACTCGATCCCGGGACCCTGAGATCATGACCTGAGCCAAAGACAGATGCTAATCAACTGAGTCACCCAGGTGTCCCTCTATTCGTGATTTTTAAGAAGCTAAAAAAGTCATTGAAGTTCATGAAGTTATAAAAGTCACTAATTGGATAGGTCTACTGACAGTTTTTATTTGAATGATTCTCTTAAAATATCATATTTGCAATCCACATATATTATTAACATTATATTTGTTACTGTGCTCCAACTACAATTTTAACATGATACTAAAGAATTATTTCATCCAGGGCGCTTGGCTGGCTCAGAGGAGTGAGCGACTCTTGATCTTTGGGGTCATGAGTTTGAGCCCCATGTTGGGTAAGAGATTACTTAAAAAAAAAAAAACTTAAAAAGAATTATATTATCCATTACTTGAAATAACACTAAAACGTAGGTAGGCCTTTCCAAAAGAATTTTTATTTTTGTTTATTTTTTGTTTGTTTGTTTTAGGGAGAGAGCATGCGAGCAAGTGGGGATAGGGGGGCAGAGGGAGAGAATGCAAAGCAGGCTCCCTGCCCAGTGGAGAGCCTGATACAGAGCTTTAGCTCATGACCCCGAGATCATGATCTGAGCTGAAATCAAGAGTCTTTTGCTTAACTGACTGAGCCACCCAGGCGCACTTCCAAAAGAATTATTAAAAGGAAAAAAAAATCAGAATGACATTTTCTATAAAATGCCCATGACTTTTTTCTTTTCTTTTTCTTTTTTTTAAAGTAATCTCTGCACCCAACATGGGGGCTCAAACTCACAACCCTGAGTCACATGCTGTATGGACTGAGCCAGCCAGGCACCCCCAGAAAACATTGCTTAAAGCAAAACGCCATGGGGGCGCCTGGCTGGCTCAGTCAGTAGAACATGCAACTCTTGATTTCACGGTTTTAAAATCGAGCCCCATGTTGGGTGTAGAGATTACTTTAGAAAAATCTTTAAAAAAAAATGTTTTCTAGCCTAAATCATTTAATAACTTCTTCCTGGAAGAACATACTGGAAAAAAGTCTCATGATAGAAAAAAGAGGAGCAATCACTTCTGCCCCTTTTAAAAGTGTGCAGACCAGAGAGTAGTAGCACAGGGAAACAGACTACATTCTGTCCATGTTAGGATAGTCCAAACAGGAAGGTAACATTACTGTACCATTCCCAGAACATTTTATGGAACCATTTACCCCCCAAAAATCCAAACACCCAAAGAAAAAAAGTATATATTTATTTCTTTTCTTCCTATTCAAGGAATCCAAAAAATGGCATTGGTATTAAACTTTTTAGCAATTATCTCTGGCCGTAATTGACATGTTGAAAATATACAAAGATTCTCTGTTGGCCTAAGGATTTCCTAGCTTTTTCCAAATAGACTTAACCAAAATTTCTTATAGTTCTTGGATTAAAGAGGCTTGTTCCTACACTTCTTTAAGAGGTTTAGGAATGAAAAGCAATACAAGAATCCTTCAGTAGATATGGATAAAAGACATATGTGAATAAATGGCATTTTTTAGAATATTGAATTCCAGCTTGGCATTGGATTTTGTCATTCATTGAAGTTACGTTTCCATTGGCCAAAAAAAAAAAAAAAAAAAATGGCATCAAACGAAATAAAGTTACAAACTATAAGAAGGATGGGAAAAATAAGAAATTATACTTTTTAGGGGCACCCGGCTGGCTCAGTAGAGCATGTGACTCTTGATCTTGAGGTTGTGAGTTCAAGCCCCACGTTGGGTGTAGAGATTACTTAAAATCTTATGGGGCACCTGGGTGGCTCAGTTGGTTAAG